GCAATTCCATTTTCATTATGTTTCCAGATACTAAACCCTCACTTCTGCTGAGAATAAGCTATTCAGAACTTAAATGCCATGTTGCTTTGATGGTGTAAAAGCAAATAAGCCAAAAGAAAAAGACTGCAGTGTTTCCAATTTATACTATAAATGGAGCCCAAATATACTGCCATAAAAGATTTTATGGACAGCAAGCAAGAATTTAATTGGAGCAGCAAACTTAATTGTTTACAGCTTGTTGTAAGTTCCAGGCAGAACAAATTTAGTCTTTTGCAAATGTCTAAGGACTGCTCACCTGAACACCATTACACAGATGAGGACTCCAAGGCAGCAGCTGGATCCAGTCACCCAAAGTGCACAAACACTGGGATGCCACCCAGCAGGAGCGCAGACGACTGCCTGAGGGCTGCTTGTTGTAGCTGGGGATCAGGTCTGCTCCATCTCTTTCCATGTCAGCTTTGGAGGGTCCTCGAGTGACCCACATCGTGCAGAGGGCTGACAGAGTGCCTGGAGGAGGAGAGCCAGCTGAGACATGCGCTAACTGATGCAGGAGTAACTTGGCTGGGCACAGGTAGCAGAGCATCGTTCCTTCTGCCTGAAGGCTTGGAGCAGCGCTGCTGCCAAATGCCTGTTGGACACCGAGAAGCATGTCTAAACGCTCACACCAACACTTCCAACTTGAACTGGACCACAAAGAATTTGCGTGGTGTAAAGTGTCCTCCTCTGATCCCTGCAGCATGGCAGTCTGGCAGATGGGGAAAGTAGCAGGGACTCAGATGTCAATGTGGTGATTCATTCCTGGTTTTCTTCTTGAATACAAGTTTACCTCCTGCACGTGTCACCCTGCTGCCACAGAGCCTCTGGGATGGTCATCTTTCAGGTGTTACTTTAACAAACCAGAACTGAAAGCAAAGCCTTCCTGGGCTTCCCACAGTCCTGAAGAGCTGCAGTCAGAGCTGTCCCAAGGCAATGTGACAAACAAATAACACTGTGAGATACTGCTGTTTGCTGTGACTTCTGTTAAAGAACTTCATTTTCTAGAAAGCTGAAATAAAAATAGAATCAAGTATTGAAGTGGGTCTCTTCAGTAAGCAAAAGTAAATATAGTATGGAATAGAGGAGGGCATGGGAGAGTTCAAACTGGCAAGAGTCAACCCAGACCAGCAAACCTCAGCAGTTGCTTTTCTGACAACTGTTCAGTAGCCTCCTCACCCATGTTAGCAGCTTGGACAAGTGCTTAAGATAGCAAAGTCCAATGCCTGCTGCTGTACTGATACTCAAATACCAAGCAAGAGGCAATTTTTTTCCCTCTGCTTTCTCCAAATCTTACTCAAGGGCAGAGACAAAACAAAAAAAACCTCAAAATTCATAAAAGTTATGAGCACTCTAAGGCTTTATCAATGGATCTCAAAACTCGGAGCATTTAGACCTAGTGAGATATAACTTAGGCATTTTTTAACTGAGGTCAAAGGGAAACAGAAGCACCCATTTTGCTGGCCAGTTCTGAAACAGACATCTTTTAGCACACCATAATCTCCGATATAAACGTCTTAATTGCTCACTTTCCTTTCCTGGGTTGGTAATGAAGAGAGAAGGCAACAGGAGAAAATCAAAACATGCTTTCACACTGGTAATCTTTGAAAGGCCACAGTTCTACTGCTGGCTTACACGAAGTAAGAGCAAGCAAAAATACTGCCAGCTTTCACACACCAAGCTGCGTTGAATAGGCAAACAAGATTGCCAAAGTTACACGTGACAAAATCCGCCGTATTTCAGATGAGCGGGGGTCCGCATGTTTATGTCCAAGCAGTACCGTAAGCAAGGGATAAACTGGGAGCTCAAGTTTCACAGAAAAGATAGCAGTCAGGGCAAGGAAGTTATCTGGATTAAGGAACAGAAACCAGTGTTTAAAAGGACAGGTCTGCTGGGTCTTTGCAAAAATCCTTCTTCGTGCATTAGACCATTTGATTGAATTATGCAGTTAGCACAGGAAGTAACTACAGCAGGCTCAGAACTATGCAAACAGCCTGTTTCATAAGTTGCTCCGGAGACCTTTTAAGTACTAAGGAATAAAAGTCTCCAATGATCTGAATGTCTAAAGCTGATCAAGAGAAGCACCTGGACTTGCCCTGTCAATGCTTTTGCATCATCAATTTTTAAGAGCTCCTGTGCAGCATAAGTACAACATACACGGAGCAGCTGTGTTCAGCTCAGCAGTAACTACCCGCTTAAAGCCCAAGTGAAATCCACTAATCTAAAGACAGTTTACTGACGTCTCAGTGGCTTCCCAACTCTTTTTCTCCTCTATTTTTCTTCGATCGCCACAAAGCTCCCACTCCGCACAGGCCGCCTGCTTTGCCAATAGAGCCAGCACAGGACTCCTGTTCAATTGTATGATATGAGGTCAAGAGCTTAATACTTTCACTGTTCTAGTTGTCTGTCCAATCTGACATCAAGAGTTAGGGTTTCCAAGTTAATTTTTTTTCCTTTCCTCTTTCCTCCTCATTTAAGCTTATCTCAAACAAAGTCAAACCAGCACATATAGTAGAGAAAAGCAAAATTGAAAAAAAAAAGTTGCATTCCTAGACCACCTAGTTCCCTAGATGGCCGTAAGATGCACAGGAATTCCAAGTTGTTAAAGGCATTGGTGACCCAGAGCACAACTCTTTCTGTGCTACATCACAGCTGAAACACTAAAGGATACCTTCAGAGATGTCTCAAGACAAAACAGTTTTACAGAAATAGCTGTATTCACACACATGAAGAACCTGGGTGTTATTTGCACGTCTTCTGGAAATCCTAAGCTGTTTTTTCAGCTCTTCCATATGTGAGGAATCTTCCCTGTTGCAGTAAATGTCAGACAGGATTTACCAACTTGTACTGAAATCCGATACAGTAAAAGTAACAGTTTTATAAATATTAAACATGTTTATAAGAAATACATTACTGTCTATTATTATTAATAACAAGAGTGCTGTAAGACAGAAGATACAGCACAGCAGCATCTGAACTGGTTTCACACATCCTTAACATTTTAATGAACAGATCAGAACAGAATTTTTCAGAGAGAAAGATAAGAGCTTTTCTTTGAAACATAAGGGTCTTTTGAAGACTGGAAGAAATGGTCCATAGAGAAAAGAGTGCAGAATGAACTCGAGAGGCACAGCCTTTCTCTAGATAAGAACAAGGACACTAACTCTGGCCACTTACTTTTGGGCCTGACAGGTATTTAGCAATTTTTTTTTTTATTTTCAAAACGCACATAAATAGCCAGAAATGGAGCTAAATAAGGTTCCTTTTTTTTTTTTTCCCTTGATCTAAATGAAATTAGTTGTGCCATCTTTCTTTAACAAAAAAAGAACAAAGAAAAAAAGAAGAAAAACATGGATGGTACTCATCACTCACAATAAATTACATCCAGACAAGATATTAATAATTTTTATGAGAACAGACATTTGTAATCACGATCATGAATTAATGCAGCAACAGCCTGAAGTACCAACAGGTATTTAGGACAAACAGAAAAGAGGATCTCCTCCAGAGCTGGGGCAGAATGGCTTGTGCTAGCCAGTTATAAATACATAGAACTAGGAGAACACAGCACACGTTTTTTTGCACTCAAGGTTTCCTACTCAGCATAACATCCTCCAGGCGTCAGAGATGTAGCAGCCTGGCTAGTCTAAGCAGTACCAATAATTTTTATTTTCAAGGCAAAAACTCGACCTGACAAAGCTAACCCTTTGTCAAATACAAAGCAAGAAATGACACATCACGTTATCTTTCAAACAATTTTTTACTGCAAGTTCTTTGCAAATATTTGTATAGTCATTACAAAAAATACCAAAGAAAATTTCAGCCTATTCAATTTCAGACAGTCATAATTTACAAAAAAATAAATAGCTTTACTCTAAAGAAGACAGTTGTCTAGTATTAAGGTCAGCAATATCATTTGCAGAAGTCCATGTTCTCAGAGTGCTGAGTATTTGGGTCCTTCTGACTTAGTTTGCCTTCTTCCAGCATTTTCCTTTAAAATAAGACTAATCAGAACATGAGAAAAGTAACTTTTTTCTTCTCACAGAAAACTGAACATTCAACATGGATCTTGAAAACTAGACTTCATTGCTAATTGAGTTGTAAGACTCCTCTGACACACCACTTAAAAAAGTTTTACTGTTTTTATTTTTATTAGATAACTGTAACAGAACAGTTTCCCACCAAATTTAAGAGTCAACAACAGCAGCATGAAGGGCATGTTTCTTTGATATAAGGCTAATGGTCCTTGATGCAGCAGAGCTTTTATAAAAGCACAAAACTGCCAAAGCCAAGGGTACTACAATCAACGTCACGTGGACCCTGCAGCCTCCACTCAGACAAATCCTCACTTCTCAGCCTAGTCCCCACAGGCATAACCAGGATTCACCACCCGAGTCAGAATTCCTGAGCAAACTGGGTGTAAGATCAGGTACTGCACATCGCAACACACCACCTGCTGCACGGATTTGGTTTTGGAGTGATTGTCACTCTAGACATGCTTAAACACTGCTCTGAAGTTGACCGTGCTGTTTCCCATCAGCACTACTGACATACTACAGGGAACTTGCTGCTATACACTGTAAACACATGAAACCTTTAGGACAACGCGTAAAAGCATGAACCAGGTACAGTAAATGCCATAGTGAGAAAGTCTGGCACACATTATTTCACAAGAAAAATCTTTGGACTATAGTACTATACACCACAAAATGTTCCAAGCGCATCCTACAATAGATGGCTCATCAAATGAGGAATCAGCAAACAAGCAAATAACTAGCATTTGCAAAAGTGTTTTAAACAACAAAAAAGAGGGCTTCAGAACATAAGAGCAGATGAAAAGAAACAGCTCCTGTGAAGTTCTCTATGTCCTCGAACGTAAGGTGGAGTGATGCATCAATGACAGATTTCAGGCAAAAATTAAAAGTCCCTGGAGTGTTTTGCACAGTGTACATGTTTCTCCTAAAGCTGGCTAAAATTAATACTAAGGAGACTAAAAGAAAAAGAATAAATTGCATTTTTATGTTATTTCCATTCACCATACTCTGGCTGACTTCATTATGCCAGAAACTGAACTGTATGCGTCACACCAGCTCAGGGGAAGTTACAGTTCTCCCCGTTTATCAACTCCCTCTTCCCCACAGGAACTAGCCAAGTTCAAATGCTACACCAAGCCCGAATCTTTGGCCATGCTGTAGAAAATGCCTTTTTCCTGAAGTAGGTGGTCTGGGCTACCACACTCCACCACTTCTCCTCTGTCCAGGACTAAAACTCTGTAAAACAAGGGGAAAAAAAAAAAAATGGTCAGAAGAAGAAAGCCAGCAAACACAGATGTGTATGTACAGACACTGCAGCACAGCAACTATACGCAAGCAGAGACAGCCCAGACTGTATGAATGGACAGAGGTTCTCAACTCTGCCCTTCCTGACCTCACTGCAGATGGTCTGTCTGGTCCATTTTTTAACATCACATATGTTTACTCAGTCATTTGCAGGCAGCCATGAGACTTGTGACTGCCCTGAGCCAGCCAGAAGGTAGAGGGCAGCACTTCTTGTGAAGGTGAGGGTGGGTCACTCAGACCTCATAAAATCTGCAATAACCTTCCCAGAACACTGCACCACATCAATTACCCTTACACAACACAGCTTCTGCCGACAAACACAGAGCTTAGGCAAAACAAACACACAACCGGCATTACTAAGTTTACAAAGCAAGTAACCGCAGTCAGTAAAGCCAGAGCACAGCTGAAACGCTGCCTTCAGCCACCTCCACCCTGCAGAGCTGCTCACTAAAGCCCTTAGCAGGCACCACAGCACAGGGCTACTCACTACAGTGACTGAACTGGGTGTGCATCTGGTGACAGTACCGCTGGTGCTGGGCCTGGGAAAGGCGGTGCTCCTGTCTCTTTCACTACTGACAGCACAGAGAGGTCTACAAGAGCCTACAACAATCTCATCACCAGTTACTTTCCTCTCTGCCATTCTGTGATAAAACTGAAATTATGGGACAACAACTCTGCCCTCAACCACACACCTTAGCAAGGCAGCTGAGGATGAGGGAGGCCACAGGAACTATAATCAAAAGTGACAGAAAATGAAACATCAAACTTCAGACAAGCACAGGACCTGCCCCTTTGATTTGTTATGCTGTGTGAGCCTAGTTTAGGGCATGAGCTCCCTAAAGCTCTGATGCGTCTTCCAGCTGTGCCTAAATTAGGGCAAGACCAGGAACATACTCCTGTTCTCACCTCCTTCACCTTCCCAGAGAGAAATGGCACGACAGCAAGCACGACAGAGGGATCAGAGTTGCTCCCCAGGTCAAGCACAGACAGAACACACATACCCACCCCTCCCCAAAACAGGGATTCCAGCAGCTCTGCAGGAGGTAGCTAAAAATGCACAGGCAAACATTTAGCTAATGTGAAGATGCTCATTTAACTAGAGCACAATGCAGGTCACACATGCCATTCTTCAAGATAAAAGTGGTATTATTTTACCTTGTGTAGTCCATGATTGTGTTCAGACGATGTGCTATAGTTAATACAGTACATTCTTCAAATTGAGACCTTATTGTTGACTGTATAAGCTTATCTGTTTCAAGATCAACAGCAGCTGTGGCTTCATCTAGAACCAGGATTTTGGACTTCCTGAGCAGAGCTCGTGCCAGGCACACCAGCTGGCGCTGTCCCACACTATGCAGAAGGGATGAGAGAGTGGGGAAAAAGAGTCAGAACAAGTTTTCAGTATTCATTTTGAAGCCAAACAATTAATTCTAAGAACTATTAGGAGCAGTCAGCTTGGCTTTGCCAAGGGTAAGTTATGTTTGACCAATCTGATAGACTTTTATGAAGACATAACCAGGTGGATGGATGATGGCCATGCAGTGGATGTGGTCTATCTGGATATCAGTAAAGCATGTGACATCGTCTCCCACAGCATCCTCATAGGTAAACTGAGGAGTGTGGTCTGGATGACCAAGTAGTGAGGTGGGTCGCAAATTGGTTGAAGGGAAGAAGTCAGAGAGTTGTAGTCAATGAGGCAGAGTCTAGTTGGAGGCCTGCATCTAGTGGGGTCCCTCTGGGGTCAGTGCGGGGGCCAGTGCTTTTCCATATATTCATCAATGACCTGGATGCAGGATTAGAGAGCGTTGTCAGCAAGTTTGCTGACGACACAAAACTGGGAGGAGCAGTTGACACACCAGCAGGCTGTGCAGCCATTCAGAGAGACCCGGACAGGCTGGAGGGCTGGGTTGGAAGAAATCTTATGAAGTTCAATAAGGGCAAGTGCAGAGTTTTGCACTTGGGAAAGAATAACCCCATGTGCCAGTACAGGCTGGGGACTGACCTGCTGGAGAGCAGTGTAGGAGAAAGGGACCTGGGGGTTCTAGTGGACAGCCAGAAGCCCATGAGCCAGCAAAGTGCCTTCGTGGCCAAGAAGGCCAACGGCATCCTGGGGTGTGTTAGAAGGGAAGTAGCTAGTAGGTTGTGCCCTTCTCCTCTGCCCTCGTGAGGCAAAAGAGAGACAGGGAACTGCTCGAGAGAGTTCAGTGCAGAGCCACATAGATGATTAAGGGAGTGGAACATCTCCCTTACGAGGAAAGGCTGGAGGAGCTGGGTATCTTTAGGTTGGAGAAGGAGTCTGAGGGGTGATCTCATGAATGTTTACAAATACATCAAAGGGGAGTGTCCGGAGGATGGAGTCAGGCTCTTTTCAGCGACGTCCAATAACAGGACAAGGGGCAAGGATACAAGCTGGAACATAAGAGGTTCCACAAAATATTAGAAAAAACTTTTTCACAGTGAGGGTGACAGAGCACTGGAACAGGCTGCCCAGGGAGGTTGTGGAGTCTCATTCTTTGGAGACATTCAAAACCTGCCTGGACACGTTCTTGTGCGATCTACTGTAGGTGATCCTGCTCTGGCAGGGGGGCTGGACTAGATGATCTTTTGAGGTCCCTTCCAACTCCGAACATTCTGTGATTCTGTGAACTCCTCTAAAGTACAGGTGCCAAGAATCCAGCAGAATAGATGACATCAGTCTTAACACTTCACTGCAGAGTATCTAACAGCATCTGAAGCTACATCCCCCTCACAACAGTGTCTCGGTAACAGAGTAAGAGAATACCTTCGGCATAACCACATCAGGCTGATTCCCGGAATCAATGTAGTGCTGTGGACTGGACTTCAAATGGTTTCTACAGACTGAACGTATATCTCTGTGAAGTAACAAGCTAACAACTTCCTTAGAAAAACCGCATCTTTTGGGCAAGGGCCATGGAAAGTTCAGAATATCCACTACAAGTAGCAGGCTGCTGCTACTAAAACCCTTTCCAAGATTGTCCAAGCTGCCAAACCTCACAACATTCTGAGTATTTCTTTAATTACTTTAAATTGACAAACTTGAGTTTAAAATACACTGAATCAAACCTAGTTGGCTGATTGCCTGGTCGTGCATTAAGAATTACCCAGCTCCCTCCCCGCGTTCTCATATACACTGCACTGCTATTGCGAGGGTCAAGCTACGCACTGTCCCGAGTGAGCTGTGAAGCTTCTGGACGTGGAAGGTCTCGTTGCAGATGGGAGGGCACACACGCACCTCTCTCAGTTCTCATTTAGTTCTTAAGGCAATTTTCACAAGCATGGCTCTTTTACATACCTGAGGTTCTCTCCACCTTCAGCACATTCATGATTAAGTTTATCAGGAAGGGACGACACAAAGTTTTTCAGGTGAGCCAATTCCAAAGACCTCCAAATGTCTTCATCGGAGTGTTGGTCAAAAGGATCAAGATTCATACGCAGAGAGCCAGAAAACAGTATGGGATCCTAGTCATAGGAAGAGTTAATAGACAATGCACACAGAACGTGGCAAGTCCTCCAAAAATATTTCTTAGATAGAAAGGAAAACAACACGTCCAGATGCAGCTGCAAGCCAGCCACTCTACCGAATTTAGGAATGAGACCTCATTTTTTCCCATAACAGCAAGTTACTGTCCCTCACTCTCATTCCTCTTGGGGGCCTGCCCTCTGTCAACTATGACACTCCAGATCTTTCCATGAGTCAGTAACTCATGAATCCAGAACAGAAAAATAAAAAAGCAGAAACAAACAAACAAAAACCACCAAAAAAACCAATCCACCAGCCAACTTTCTTTTTACTGGGCTACCAAATTAAAGAACATGCACTGTCTGCCCAGTCTTCTGCCAGCAGGGACTACTAGGTCAACTTTCCACTTCCTTGGGAATTGCACCATCTGCAAATATTTCAAAAGTCTTCAGCTGCAATATTAATGAAATTAACGCTTTTTTTTCCTTGGACATGGAGAAATACTATTCTGGAGATGCTTCTGACCTAATAGTGTTAGTGACGTAAACTGATGAAAAGGAGAAAGCAAAATCCACCCCAAATTTCCAAAGGAAGTGGTGCAGAATGCTTCTTACAGTGCGCTTGGTTTTGACATTGTGCTACAACCGGGATTTATATAAACACATTTTATGGTCTTACTTTGAATCAGAAAAGGCAGGCAATAGAAGCTACACAGTAAGAACAAGAAAACTCAAGACTTGTAAGACCAGTGCTTGTAAAGTCGTATTTACAGACATTCTGGACGATCAAACCCACAGTTGCTGGGGGCTAGACTGGGACGGTTACACACATGTTTCTGTGAGTGAACAGTACTGCATACCTCGCTCACAAGATCCTGCCAGTCAGAACGCTCTGTACAAAGGCCCGAAGAGTGCCTATCAAGCCTGAAACAGCAATGCAAAAACCTAATCCCTCACAACTAGACTACACAGTAACTTCATTCAATTTTTAAGAAGAAAGAAACAAACACAAGTGGAAATTGATCTCTCAAATCCTCCCCGGAGGGCTCTCCACAAGTGGAAACACTTAGACTTCACTTCCCCTCTGCTGGCCAAAAGAGCAATGGTCCCAGTTAACTAAGGGACTCCATCCAGTGTTCAGCTGGGATGAGATCTCCCCACTCAGGCAAAGCTCTGGCATTTAAGTGATCAGCATGGGGTGCTGATCACAGCTATAGATCAGAACAAGAACAATTATATTCTCCCCAGTACATTACAGAAACCATGTTGTTACAGAACAAATTCTGGTAATGGCAGGATGTTGCACCTACCTGAGGGATGATGGTGATCTTGAAGCGCAAGTCATGGAGCCCGATCTTCGCAATATTAATTCCATCAATAATAATTTCTCCCTCAGCTGCTTCATTAATTCGAAACAAACCTAAAGTAAGCGAGGACTTTCCAGCTCCTGTTCTTCCAACTATTCCAATCTGGTGGGATACAAGGAAGCAGGAGCAGACAGACACATATATCATCATTAGATTGACTAGATCCAGAGAATTTACTCTGAAGTTCCTTTTTTTTCTTGCAGAGTCTCACCTGGCAACTTCTGCCTCACTACATCAGAGCTTCCCCCTTCATTTAGTAGCTCATTTTCTTGAATCTATAATTAATCTAATCTCTCTTCAATCTGTACTCCTCTTAGCTTATGGTAAAGAAATTAACAAAATTTCCTCGGAAAGGGAGAAAAGACAGCATAAACCCCGCTTTCTTATGAAATCAGACCAAATGATACTTCACAAGCCCACATGACAGTCCATCTTTATCCCATGATACAGGACACACCCTGGAAAGGATAAAAGAGCCCCCTACATCAACCAGTTGCCATAAGACTGATTCTATAGAAGCTCTTCTAGCTCTTAAGGACCGAAGACACATCACAAAACCGGGTTAGACCTCTCTTTGCCTTATGCATGCAGACTTACAAGCAGTGACACTCTATTATAAACTCAAGTTCATTACCTTCTCACCCCCATTTATGGTAACATTTATGTTTTTCAGAACCAAATCCAAATCTTCCTGGTAACGTAAACCATAGCCTCGAAACTCAACCTTCCCTTCCTCAGGCCAGGTACTTGCTGGGGCGGTTTGTTCAATACTCCATTCGGCCTGGAAGAACCACAGAAACTTATCTGGTCAGTCCTGCCTTCAACCAGACATGGGCTCAGAGGACTCAAAGAAAGCAATTAAGAAAAATCCTTGTTAGTGTGTAATTCACAAAAGGAACTGTGATGATGATGAGAAAAGAGAGAAAGAGCTGCCCCAAGGCAGATGAAATGGTATATGTAAGCCAAGGGCTTTGCTATCCCAAGTGCCACTTGCTGGATAAACTTTCCTGTCACAAATAGCAGAATCATACAGCTAGCATATTCAGGTAAGGTGCTTGCACACCCCCATCACAGTGAGGAAACCACTGGGGAAGCCAGATATGCAACTAGAAGCAGTTTCACTGAGACATAAGCACTAAAATATTAACAATCTGGTAAAGTAAACAGCTGCTGCCTCAGCCTCCCACAGAGATGCAAGAGGAGAGAACACACCCTGCTGCGTTCACCACCAGTGCTAAACAAAAAAGCTTTTAACTGTACAAACACTGGTCTGCTAGCAGAATCTGAAACAAATTCTAGTAAGATTCCTCATAAAGTTTGGCTGCAAAAATAATGACTCAAGTCAGGTTCAAATGACAGGCATGGCAAAGAGAAGTCATGGGGAATTCTGTTCTGTAGCCAAAAGGGGCACAACTGCAGATGTAATGAGTTGTTAGGTGATTTGAATCAAAACAAAACCATGTTAAACCTCTTTACTCGCCACACTGAGAGCAAAATGAAGAACATGCTAAAAAAGAAAATGTTTAAGAGCTTAGGAGGTTGAAAGATTTCTATAGCTCCACTGCTTGGCCCAAGACAGAACAGTATTTCCTAAATAACACTGTGTAAATATCAGTGCATACACCTCAAAAGCACCCACAGGAACTACCACCGAGATACAGCCTGTCCCTCAAGGGAGGGCACTGATAGCACTATGCTCTGCCCCATGCCACAGCTCAGAGGACGTGCCCAGCTGCACCCTCCAACTCAGCCAGCCAGGCTGTGGGCGAGACCTCAGAACAGGGCACCGGCTTCTGCACGTGTGGTGGACATCTCAACGTACCTCCTTCTCCATTTCAGCGTATTCTCTGACTCTTTCAACAGCGACAAAGTTGGTTTCCAGCTCAGACGACATGCGAACTAGCCAGTTCAAGTATGCTGTAATCTGCAAGAAGAAAAGAAGTGTAGAAGCAGTTTATATTAAATACGTAACAAAACAACCAAAGCACTGCAAGTTCACAGAATGCATAAACACAGATGAGATCTTGACTAATCAGTGCTGGGCAGCAGAAAAGTCCAGATGCCGTTAATACACAGGAGATGAGTCATCTCAGCCACGTTCCCCTCAAACAGACGGGATACAGAAGGAACTTCTCAGCATCTTTCCAGGTGCTACTTTTAATTCCAATTATCTTCCTATGCTCTTTACATTAGTTTTCCCTCAAAAGCTTGACAAGGTTCTGACTTTCTGATGCAGTCTTACAATTCAGAGCCTTTTCTAAAAAAAAAAATAAAAACAAACAAAAAACAGGTAAAATTACCTGCAGTGAGTAGGACACTGAAAGGCCAACCAGTCCTGCACTGAGTTTGTTGCGTGCAATCACCGCAAACAGTGCTGCAAAGAGGACAATACAGTTGCCCACATATTCGAGACGGACAGCCAGCCACCTGCAAGACAGAAAAATGTAACACATATTTCTGGTAATTCATCTACAGAGAATTAGGAATGTGGCCAATCAATGTTCTGTCACACATCTTGTTTTCAAAAAGGTTAGTAACAGGACATCTGCGTACTGCCAGTGACACAGAATCCGCAAGATATTTGAGGTTCTGTTCCAGCAGTGTGTAAACAGAGGCATCCAAAATCAATAAACCTTTCAAGTGCATAAACTCCTGTCTTAGTTCAGAAAGCAACTGTGGTTAACATCGGGATCAATGAATCAAAACTTTAAAACAAAAATATTACCCAGGAATTCTCAAAGAAAAAAAAATTCAGAAGTAATCTTAATTCCATCACAGAAGTTTAAGCTGAACATCTGTGAAACAGGCACACCCATACAGGCTTCCCTACCCTGGACAAGCATGCTGAAAGCTGTGACTGACAAGTGCAGAACCACGTCTTCCCAATAGAATTGCCTTCTAATATTTCACGCCCACTGTTACCTGTTTGCAACAATGCCTGCATAATAAGCCTTCTGATTTTCATCCACTTTCATGTCATTCTGCTTTATGAAACGTTCCTGCTCCTCAAAGGCTCGAATGACACTGACTCCCAGGAGAGTCTCATTGAAGTGAGAATATACAGGAGAACGACTGACAGACTCAAGGCGTTTCAGCTGGCGAGAAGTGGCCACGTAAAATCTCTGCAAATTAGAGTTTGAGAATTATCGTTATATCCAAACTGTCTGAAAAGGCAAAGGGAATAAGAGAGTTCCCTGCCATTTGGCCTGTTAGTTTCAGAGATTCAACTTACACATGGGAAATATGTGCCTTCTCCAACACTTTTAGGCCTAAAAAGACCATCATATACACTCTGCTGTCTTTAAACAACTACCAGTCAAACCATCTCATGGAACAGCATGTAAGTTTAGTTCAACAGTATAACACACACACAGCCCTGCCTTTAAGAAAAGAGACCAAGAGATTCACTAATTCAACAAAGTCAAAACCCAGCTTCTTTCCAATCTGTACTGGCTCTGCTAGATTTCTAAGAATAAAGCAAGAGCGAATCAAGCATACCCTGTATACAGAAGACAGGAGGGAAGGCTGCTGTAATTTCTTTTGCTCTGAAAACAACGTTCTGATCAAATAGGCACATCAGCAATGCACATATACTCCTCTAAAGGTTACTCTTCTCTTTGGAAACAAGTTTCAGAAAAGCCTGTATGTTTTCCATATTTGGCTTCCGAGCAACCAAGCTATATAAAATTTCCTCTAAATCTAATAGCATTTTTATTAAAGGATTATCTTCTGTACAGAAGTCATTCCACACCTGACCATGGAAGGAAATGCTCTGCTAACATCAGCTAATCAATAAACCACGCAAAGCGTAGTCAAGCACGACTCAACTCACGCATATTAAAACCGAGCCCTGAGCAGAGTCAGAAAAGAACTGCCTTAAACAGCAGAGGATGAGCAACTGCTGATCCCAGTGTCCCCAGGTAAAACCCCCTACCTGCACAAACAAGTAGACAATTCCCAGAGGTGGAATAACTGCAGCAGCTATGGGTGTAGCCAGCAGGATGATGATACAAGCCCCAATCACGTTAAATGTCGAGCCCATGAACATCTTAATGATTGGTGGAATGGTGGAGTCAATGATATCTATCTCCTTAGAGAAACGGTTCACCAGATTTCCACTGGGTGTACGTTCAAAGAAACTCATTGGAGACCTGAGGACATTGTGCAGCAGGTTAAGGTGCAGGTGTCGTGAAGCAATTATTCCCCCTATTGACACAGCCATCGAGTAGCCAAACACAGCAACACCTAGAAAAGAAGACTTGTTTTTAATGCTTCCACCACTAGCACAAAACATTTTCCTTCATTTTGTGATCACTTAGCATTAGCTATCTCTAGTACAATAATCCTGAAAACTGGGGTTCACTACAGGCAGACTCAGCAATTACTCCAAGGAATTAAACAAAAGAAAAAAAAAAAATCAGTGAAGACACCACACTTCTCTCAAGGAAGAAGTGTGAAATTCAAGCACTTTCCTTCAGTAAATACCATTGAATTTTAAGGTGATAGTTTATATTGCAGGATTTTTATGGCAATTCTGAAGTGGAGTAGTGTTACCAATTCCTGGCTCCTCAGTCTCTGCAAATCACTTTCATTCTTGCTTTGTATAAACCAAAAAGAACAAAAAACACATTCGCTAACTGAATAACTTTTTACGTTGGTTTATTTGCCTTTTTTTTTTAAATTCATTGGAGTTTTTAATCTTTATGTGAGTGAATAAAAAAAAAAAAAAATCAAAAAACCACCCAAGCCCTTAAACCTCCACTGCAGTTCTGAGGATACAAGGTTGCCAAGAGCATCAGAAACATCCTGAACCAGCTAATTTTCAAATAGGTAAAATCAAGCAAACCTTGAGAACATCCCAGCGCTCCATACACTCCCAGTCTCATATCTGTGTATTGCTGTGTCCCATTGATAACAGGATCATCTGTCCATAAACTTAGCCAGTAGTTGGAAGCCAGGGAGGCTACATGAGTACATACAAAGAAGAAAATGCTCAAGAAAGAGATAAAGAGTCCGATTGCTTTCATGTAGTCCCAGTAAACCGTTGCCTTTACCTGAAGACAAAAGGGGGGGAAAAAGTATTTGTATCGCAGATTAAGTTTCAAAGTCAACAGTTTCCCCTGTTACAACCTCTATTTAAAGTCCATATCCCTGTATCAGGCTGTAAAAACAAAGAGTTGCACTCTAGAGAGACACTGCTTGGAAACCCAAGCTGCAAAGTGTTCTGTGCCAAACCTGACCAAGGTAGTCACATATCTTTTCCTTGCCTTCTAAGGAAAGGGTAAAGTAGGGATAGAGCTTCCTGAAGTAGCAAAGAGCATTAGTCGCAGAGCAAAAAATTTCACTGAGGAGTTCCAGATTTTGGCACTCACTTTTATCACCAAATTATATAGTCCTTAATTAAATTCTTGCTCCAGTTAGCTTATATCCTGTGATCTACCTTTAACTAGAGGAATCAAGCAACACTGTTAGGAGGTGTAAGTGCCACCTTTCCCCTCTCAGGTTTCTCAGAAAGTCCTGGGTATCCTGGGATTAGACGCTCATGTCCACACTGGAAATTTAGCTTACATTCACCTGAGTCAATTCAGCTCCTAATGTTTCATTAGGTCACCTAATATGTCACAGCCTCTCTCCAAGAAATAGCTGCAAGGTTTTAATTTCTTCCTTTAAACTTTGATGTGGTCAGGCCCATCATCTTACACAAAAGTTTGGTATCCGCACTCTTTCTGCACGCAAACCTGGGGCTCAAGTTTGGGAGAAGAGGGCACAGCAACAGTTCCATGAAGTACTACTCGACAGCAGAAATGGGAGACCTTACCCTGCCGGTCTTTGCTGTGTCGGCTTCTGTCAGTTTCCAGGAATTCTTTTCAGCAAGTGGCTTCTGCAGCTCAGCTGTGCTGCTCTGGTGCTGTGACTTCCCGGTGTCTCTGCTGTATGTTGAAGAGTTACTGAGTTGCCTGTGTGAAGATACTTATTTTTCAGTCTTGGTGTTACAGGCCAGGTGTTTACTTCTTAAACAAACACAGCCTCAAGTAAGTGGTTTACATAATGCCAGTGATAACCTCCTAGTCGGCCATCATCAGGCCACTGGTTACTATTACTTCCCTCCTCCTCTCGCGGTGCGTTCTTTCATTCTCCCTGCAAACACTCAGTTCTCAATTATGCGTCTTCAGATACAAGTAACAGCCTAGCCAAAGTCTTGGTTGAGCAATCAAACTCAAGAAAGAAAAAAGCTTGGTGATCATCAGCCTTTATAAGCTCTACCATCATATACAGTGCAGCCACTGATGCGCAAAGAGGCCCCACACTGGCAGGCAATTACTCCCAGGCACTCATTAGCTTCCAGAAACACCGTATCTCTAGAGCGCCATAAGGATAAGGCATAGACTGTGAGATTGATTTTAGGAAGGTATAATCAGTGATCATCTTGGGCCTCTCAAGCATGACAGCAGCTGTACTAGGACAGACTAAAGGTCTGACATCCCCTCTGACAGCAGGCAACTGCAAATGCCTTGGGAAAGTGTATCAATGTCTTGCTACAACACAATTCTAGCTTCACACCGAAGAAACAGCGACGCAAGAGCTCTGTATGCCCAGGTGCTAGCAACTGGGTAGACTGGGATCCAGGGGTAGCTACTGGGCAGACTGAGAGCCTGAGCTCAGGCAGGGGAGGGATCCACCTTCTACACACACACATGTCAGATGCTCACTAGTGAACAGGGTGAAGCTGTTCCATGCAGTGTTTGTGTTGATGCTCTAAGTGTCCGTGACCTGTGTAGCTGGGCCACGTATGTGTGTGGTGTGTCTGTATGCTCCAGGTGCACGTGCCTGCTGGGAGTACATTTTCAGCCTTGCTACTCTTGGACCTGGAGCCACAAAGCAGCAGCCACCTCACCTCTCAGGCTGCTGGATCTGCCATGCTACATTTTCCTCCAGCAAATACCATAAACAGCAAATTACTGTTTGCCCACAACTGAGTAACAGGATGAAAAGGGGGCAAGGTGCAACAGAGGAAAAAAGAAAACAAAACAGAAAGGAAAGCAAGCAAGCACACACCTATGCATCAACTTTCCAGTGGCTTCATTCACAAGGACTCCATTTTCTATAGGCTTTCCTTCCGTTCCAGATGGACTACTTGTATCTGGGAGGGGTGAAAAAGTAAATATGAAAAGGTAAGCAAAAAGATACAAAGTTTCATTTCAATCCTAAATGTCAGATGCAGTCCTAACATGCAAGCAAAGGAGGAAACACAGCTAACATTTATTTTTCAACCAAATGTAGGTCAGTAATAATAATGTAATATAATTATGAGAATATACTTGATATTTAAGCATGCAATACCAAGTCACACTATGACTCACTCTGTGAGGGGGGGGAAAAAATCCACAAAGCAGTCCAACCACTCTTTTCCACATCTCTTACACAGTTAACTAAACAATATTTTAATTTGCGAATGCAAGGAGAAGCCATTTTAAGAAATTATGGAATAAAAGTTGTAAGAACAGAAGGCAAGTACTATTAACTTTGAGACTTCCTGCAAAATTAAGCAGGAAGCAACATGCAAAAGCCTGTTGTTTTTAACCAACCATAGGAATTAGATTTGTTCAAGCATCAGATCTTTCAATAAATGTCACTTCTTAAAAAAAAAAATTCTTGTTAACCCACAACATCCCGTTTGTAACAGGATGCATCACACACAAGGCAACTCTAAAACATTTCACAGAACCTGTCAGCTTGAAATATTAGGCTTTCTATAAGCAACATGATTCAGCGTAATACAGTGCAAGGAGAAAAATTTCCATGTTCAATTTAGCACTTGAAAACAGAGTTTCATTTAAGTTCAGAACTTGTAACAAAAATAATTTTGCATTCTACAGGGTTTATGCACAAAAAAGCCCACATGCATCTATTCAAAAGATGTGGGAAAATTTGTTTAGATCAAGCATCTGAAATTTTCATGGTTTTATACTAAAGTGAAATATATATACATAAAACAATTCACCAGTACGTTAAACATGGACTGCGTGAACATAAAGCTGTTCCCTCCTGTGTTTGCAATACTGAGCATTAGCTCATTACTCTAAAAACCAAAAGCTAAACTGTTCAGCATGATCTAGAAGCAGAAAATGTGAAAAAGCAAAGAGTTCAATGATTTAGTTCCCATTTTTAGAGAAATGAGAGCAAACCAATATGCTTAAAATAACTGCTGGTTATTTTTAAGCACTTGACAGCATCTCTTTCGAAAGGGTCCAACATAAAAACCCGCAAGCATTCCAGCGTTGCACTGCTTTCAGAACATCACTGAAAAGTTTTCAACCCACACAAACAAACCAAAACCACAAATAAGCCACCCTGCCCTAACAGTTCTTAAATTTGATTTCATGTTGTAGGCTACAATGATTTCCTACTTATACTGTATTCACCTCTTGAGAACAAAAAACGCTCAAGATTGCCATAGTAAATCTGATATGTGCACCTAGGGTACAAGTTCACTAACGAGCACTCGGCTGAAAAATGTGTCTGGAAACATTACAAAGGAACAGCTGCAAAGTACTGAATAACACAGAGGAGAACAAAAAGGGCCTTTGTGGCTCAGTCATGAATGACGCCTCTCTGGGTAAGCTCACTACACTCGTAAATCCAGGGTGTATCTTTAAAGTTTATTTAAAACTTCCTCATGGTAGCATTTGAGATAAAGAATCACTGCTGATGAGTTATCTACAAACTGTCACAGCATCACACAAACAAGTACCATGCAAACCAAGCAGATACTTTCTATCATGCGGACAAAATTCTTTTAATAACTTCGTAAATGATCTGTAGCTACTCATATTACTGCAACACAACCACTAACGTGGCAAAAAATGTTACCTGTTTCCAGAGGGTGAATCATTCCTTCTAATGAAGGATCTGAGTCTAAAAGTATATATAATTAACTTTTTCCAGAACACAATCATTTTCAAGCTTTACAATCACAAACACATCCAAGCAGCACAACTTAAACCAAAAAACAATAAAAGCACAAGGCAGGATCAAATTTGCTGAAATAGACCTTTCTTTTTAATCCCAAGGCTGATCTCTAAGGTCCCCTCCAGCCTATGCCATTCTATGATTCTATGACACAGTCAAAAAAGACAACCTTGAGGAAAAAGAAAAAATCCAAATCAGATGGCTACAAGTGAACAATTAAGAAACTTCCCTGATTTGGGTGTTTCTTCAGGTCCAGACTCCACAACATTTGGAAAAGAGTCAACACATCTCAATACCTAACTCTTAGTTTCCCAGGAGTCAGAAAGGAGAGAAGCACCCAATCATCCCTAAAGGCATCACACAAACCATCTTAACTACCCAACACTGCCATTAAGCCTAAACCTCACTCTGTTAGAACGAAGCACAGCCACAAAATGCAAGTGTCATACACTGAAGACTATTAACAAGTCTGATTGTGCCCAAAGTACCTACAGGAGCACCTAGAGAAACTACACATAGGTCAGCCTTGTTCTGTTTCATAAAATCTCTTTGAGCAGTGCTTTTCCCAGTGGGAGACTCCACCCATATAGCACTTGCTCTTTACACGCAGTACCCACCCAAAATCAATGTCCCGGGCTGCGTAACAACAAACAAGATATAGCAAGAGACCTTTCCAAGAGGAGAGCTGGCCCACAGCGGGGTATCCTGACCATGAGCCTCAGCTCATCACCCCCAAATCCAACTCCCCATCAAGGATAGCTTGACGCAAGAGAGGGAGCCAGGAGAAGATGTCACCTTGCACATCCGGGAGACAAACTGCTCCTTCACAGCCTCCAAGGGCAGTCTGTGCCTCAGCCTGGACAGCTGAGGGCAGCTTCAGAGAGCAAGGCAGACCATCGCAGCCCTCACACAAGCAACTTTCAAATGAACATCAGGAGCAGCCCCCGGGCAAACAGTCATTCAACAACTCTTTAATGCTTCACAGCCTCATCCCTGCAGCTAAATGTGGCACCAGTTCTGTTTCACCCGTGACTGGCATATAAGAAGTAAACTATAAAACACCTCTGCTTTCCATCTAGGGAATGGGCTTTCCAAATGGGAGTTAGTGGGAAAAGTGGGGTTAATCTCTTCTCTGTTCTGGAGAGCCTGCTCTGCAGCACCCTATTTGCTCTCACACAGGCCTCAGGCACATGCCAACAATTTAACCTCAATCAGCACAGTACAAGCACCCACTCACACTTTTTTGGGTGAGCATATGGAGGACTAAGTATCGGGAAATCACGACAGGCAAGTCGCTGAAAAAAACAGGCTGGAAGCAAGAGACTAAGTTCCCTTATTAAAATCCGGTATTGCAATCATCTAAGAATATTCCTCTATCAGAGCAGCTCTGCAGTTGTTTTGTAAAGCAGAAGCAGGAGTCAGTGACATCAGCTAGAAAAACAAGCTGCTGCTTCCTCCACTCCATCCCCAAGGAAGCTATCTGCATAAAGAAGACAATCTAATAAGCACAGGAAAGGTGTATTAACTCCAGCCTTTACTTGATCTTGCAACTATCTGAACTTTGCTCTGAGAGGAATTTTACCACAGATCCACTCCATATTTTCCTAAATTTTAATTTAATCTCACAACCTTCAACAGCCTCAAAACTTAAGTACCTCTGCCTAAAGAAACATCACAAGAAATAGTAATGTTTCTTAACTTTCCTCCCATTACTAAGAACATATCACGCACCAGGTTACACCACGAGAACTTACCTGTAAGCTTACTGCTGTTCTCTGCGCTTTGTTCAGTATTAGCATATGTACGAAGAAACTCAGCAAAAGCCCCATCTTGCTTCAGCAGCTCCTGGTAGGAGCCCATCTCAGAGATTTCTCCATCAGACATCACCAGAATTGTATCCATTTGAGGCAGATAGTTGACTGCATGAGTTACCAAAACCCGTGTCTAAATAGCAAAAGAATAAAAAAAAGTTTTTCTAACATGTCAAATTAGTAAGTACAATGGTTGAACTACTGCTCTTGTTGGTTGAATTCTGTGTATAACACAATAATAACTAGGGACAGGCATGCAGCATTTTTAAGAGAGAATACTGTCCTTGTCTTGATTTTTCCACCAAAGAACACTGAGTTACAGAAACCAGAGCACAGTTCATTATAAAAACTCTGTGTTTTATAGAAGTCCTCTAAAAATCTTAGCAGGATCCTTTCATTTTTCAGATGTTTGAAACAAAATTCTGACTATGCAGCTTGATAAACTTGGTCATTTGAACTCAAACAGAAACAAATAATTCCCTAGTGACAACTATCTCACTATGACATACTTTGTTTTTCAGAATTCCTTTTGGTCCAATAACTTTTTCAAAAATATGTTTCCCAACATGAGCGTCAACAGCTGATAAAGGATCGTCAAACAGATAGACATCTGCATTACAGTAAACCGCCCGAGCAAGACTGACTCGTTGTTTCTGTCCTCCAGACAAATTCACACCCTGGGGAAACAAGAAAATACGATCTTTTATTTACAGCTGAAAACAGATGTCTTGCTACAGTTTGTGAAAGACACGAGCCAAAGGTGGTTTATGCAAATTCGAGAAATTTCAGCATTCTATAAAACTCATTTTCATCACAAATAATTTCATTACTACAATAACACAATCACCATCAAAATCCTCTTGAAGGAAGAATATCTATTAAGTTCTCACTGTCAGTGAGTGGCTAGTAAAAAGCCAGTAACAACAACAAAAGTGTTTGCTATTCTTGTAAAGCAATTAACCCAGCTGACCTACCTAAGTCTGTACACTTAGAGGCCACTTTCCTTCTCAGCTGTGTTCCTGGAGCGCTGCCCATGATTTAATAAACAATCTCTGTTCACACTCCACGATTTCACTGAGCTGCACCCTTTACTGAATCTGAGGTGGGCAGCTCTACCTCCCCCGTAACTAGGCAGGGGGCAAAGCACACATGCCTGTACACCCCTGCACCTCCAGGTGCAGAACAGCCAGCAGCTGACATACCCGTACCCTGCTGGAGACTTGCTTGGGGAACACCTGGTCCTGCTCCCATAGCAGAGCACTACAACATCTGTGCAGGTTTCCAAATTCCACTCCACTCATACTTCGGCAGCCAAGGGCCTGTTTTGGGGTGGTGGGGTTGTTTTGGGGGAAGGGGCATTGTTTGCTTGTTTTAAATGAAGCTGAAGTGCTCAGAAGATTCTGCTCTTCCTGTTCACATGTACTTTCTGCCCAATGACCATGGCAACTTAGAAAAATTAAAAATTTAATTGCAAGATGGTTTTGCATTTGTAATTGAGGACAGGTTTCCTCCCCTTTGAGGATTAAGACAAGGAAAACAATGTCCAAATTTGCCTCTAGAGGACTTGTACTCTGAATATTTTAAATTCAATACAACGTTAAGATAAAGTAGAAGTCCCATGGCCTTAACAACAAGCAACGGCAGTGTTATGGTAGAGGGGTACTTAAATACCTTTTCTCCTATTTCTGTTTTGTCTCCTGTAGGAAGAATCTCTATATCAGGCAGCAGTGCACAAGCCTCAATCACACGCTTGTACCGGCTCTCATTCATCTCCCTTCCAAAGATAATGTTATCTTCCAGAGTTGCATTTTGGACCCAGGCTTGCTGAGGAACGTAGGCTACTGAGCCCTGCAAGAAAAATGAAGTTCCTTATTCAGTCCTTTAGACTAAAAGTCTGCCCAGAAAGGCAAAGCACAGCAGGGTTTTGAGAGGCAGGCAGTGCTAATCGCTTCACAAAATGCCTATGGTCATTTGAAAATTGCACAAAATAGTTCTTGGGCTACCACCTCCTCCAAAATGTTATTTTTATAATCCTTTCTACAAGTGTATATAGCAAATCGTGTTGGTGAAAAACGAAGGACTTCAAACAAAATATGACTTGCTAATATAAACCTGGAGGAAAGATTTGTTTAGAGAATATGTTTGCACAATTACGGAGTGTCAAAAGTCATTAGTTCTTTTGTATAGTTATAAATTATGTTCTGCATAAAACAACTTGGAATAAAACTGTTTAAAAAATGCTTATCCCTGCCAAGAGATATCTGCAAAAAGTAGTGCCAGCAGTTTTTGTATAAAAGTCACTTCAAAGGAAGAGACTGAGCTACTGCAAAGTATACTGCTTTGAAGATTACTTCTGCCTTCTTTTTCTGCACAAATAATCAGTGATTCAAATCTCACCTACTTTATTTTTCCAGAACTATTTTGGAGGTGACCAAATGTGAACTCTTAAATGCAACATACTTGTTTTGCTCTTAAAATAAAT